GTGAAAGTAAACTGTAAACTAGTTTTAAAATACTAATAAATTTATTAGCATGATTTATTCCTCACACAAGTAAATAGAACATTTTTAGGTGTGAATACACATAAAAAATATGAGACTTATTTTACTGAGCCCAGAAACAGATAAACAGACAGCTGCAAAAAAAAATGGAAATTAATTTCACACACTGAATTTTTAAAAAGAAAAAAACATTTTGGTTGTGATGGCTTTATGAGGTGTGTAATATACAAATAGGAGATTAGTTTGCTGCATAATAACACATATTTTACCATTTTTAGTGACAAATTAGGTTTTTGAAAAAAAACATAACTCTTTGCCTTTGTATGTTTTTCATACTTTTTTTTACTGTTCTCCTAGGTGTAAAGAGCAATATAAGTTGTGTCCTAAATAAAGGCAAATGTTTAAACATTTTTGCAAAATAAGAAATCTTCTAAAACATTTTAAAGAACATGCACTCTTACTTACAATGAAAGGTTTATATTAGCAAACAGATTAGTGCAGAAATAAGGTCTCTTTGTACTGCTGTGAATATCACTTGGCGGACTGGTAAATATGTCCAACAGAAACGTGTAAATAATGAAAGTACAATAGTTATAAAAAGTGTTTTTGACGTTCCCAACCTTGATAATACAGACCTTATTCTCCGGTAAGGTATTCTGAAACATAAACAAACTTTCCCTTTAAATTCTGATAGTAGCTCTTCATTTTTGCAACAAGAGCTAGACCCCCCATATTTCATTTCACTCTTGCTGATAGCATTTATCAGCAAAATCCTGATAAAAACAAAATATGCAACTTAAACCTAATCATAACTGGGCCTCTGAGGAGAAAAGTGGAGGATTATACTTGGACCCGGTAGCACAAATATAAGATTGTATTGTCAAAGAAGACCATTAGCCTGCTGGCAAACTGTACCGCAAGCCACAGATGACAGGGCTTTTCAAGACCGACAGATGAAAATATGAAACTTAAATTCTTCATGACAGATATCTCTGTTGAATGAAGTTCAACAGAGCCCACAAATGGGCTAAAATGAAAAGTTTTTTTTTCTCTAATTTATACATATTTTTCATGTGTAAATATATTCTTGCTTTCATAAAGTATTTTAGTCTAGTTTTGAAGCTGGGACAATCGTTGTGGCATTCTTGGATTTGCTAGACATAAAACAATGCCGTGTGTTTAGGGTGTTGGATTAAATTTAATACAGAATCACGAAAGATATTTCCTGGAAGGATATCAGCTGGAGTGGATTTCCCCAGACCAAAGCTGACATGTTTCTCTGAAATAAAGCTTATTAATTGAATCATTAAGTCTGGCTAATCCGTAGTGATTGTTCACTTTATCCAAATATTTCCATGCACTAAATATTTATTCCTGGCTGCTGTGGAGCATTATCATCCCCTCTGCATAATGCTATCACAACACTTACCATTATTTCAATGCTTCCACACATTGTGCAACAAAACTAGCAGCTATTGACATACAACAAACAATCTGTAATGTGGACAGAAGGGTAAGACAAACCAGCTGCAATATAGCCAATTGGTAAATTATTTATTGGCGTTACATTTGTCTGATTTCACCCCCAGTCTAGGTTACTAAATGAGGCAAAGGGGTAGTGTGAAGATCCTCTCTGGGATTCTGCGGAGTATGTCAGCATGTCCTCGAACAGACACTATTGCTAATTAAGAAGGCAATAATGGCCTCTTGATTACGAGGGGGGCTCTATTACCAATTCCACAGGTTGGCATCTCCTGTCCTAGCTTTGTGTCACTTTCCCTGGAGGACAAGGAACTCTGTCCCTAATCTGCGGGGGGGATCGGAAAGGCAACGCCGGAGCAGTGATGACAGTCTGCTCACAGCCTCCCCACCCCCCACCCTAACCCCCAAAGGCATGTCTTGATCATCCCCCTGATAGGGCCAGGAACAGAGACTGCAAGACTGGGCTGGGATCCCAGCAAAGACTTAGCATGAATCAAGCCTGAAACCTCTATGAAAGGCGTTCTAAGATCCGAAGAAAGGCTGGGAGTCAGTCTGGGCAGCCTGCTGTCTGGCACTAGAGACACCAGGCGCCACAGTGTAACAGCAGTCTCAGGTATGCCAGGCAGATACTACAACTTCTTCCCAGTTCTTCACTGGAGACTGGGAGAGGCCTATTTAGGAATAAGACACTACATATGATAAGATTTCTTCTTGAGTCTAAGCCACAAATTATAGAACACCTATTGTAATTGTTTTGTATGTTTATGCAGTTTCTTTCATTTGTATTTTACAGTTTCTTGTCTTTTCCGTGATCCACCATCTTCTTGTTTTGATTGTGGTTAATTTTCTTGAACTCACCTCCCCCCCCCACCACAACACGCACAGTTTTTTTTCTCTCCCTTAACGTTCCAGATGAATCGTATTGCCGTCATGTGTAAACACTTACGATAATTGCAAAATAATTTGAAAATTGAATAAGTGATCAAAACCAAACTGGGCTTTTCTCAGTGTGTCGGAGTACGAAACAACTGAGCAATTTCCAGTGTGGTGCATGTGGTCCTGTGGGAGCTGTGGTGGAGTTTGTGTGCCTCTTCAACTGTGGCTTCCTACCTTGTTTGTTACACTTAAAGGCCACATGGCAATGTGATCATTTTAGAAATTCTAAAATGTCATGTATTTTTTTCTTAGGCATTTGTCCTCCTGTGGGTGAACTCTGTATTGTTCAAATACTGCAGTTAATCATGACAGATAGCTTTTGGTTTTGGTATTTCTTCAAGCAGTAAATTCTGAAAATCTGTATTTCAATACAGCCTTGTATATAGATATATCTAGAAATATAGACATTTCTCTATTCTTTATGCAATATTACATAAAAATGTCAATATTTAAAGTTTGTGACTTTTCCCTTTTCTATTCATTATTGTATATTGTATTGTTCTTTTTTTTTACTTCAAAAAGAGATTAGAAGACTTCCAAATTCTAGAAAGTGTTGTGAATGCACAAACAATTGGTGGAAGATATTAGCATGAGACAGCCAGTCATTTGTAATAAATTCATAACAGTGAGAAATAATCATTGCTGTCTTAAATAACTGTGGCTTCAGTTTTGCCAAGAAATGGTTGTTTAGATGAAAAATGTACTGTAAAAATGTGATTTAAACTCATAAATGTTTAAACAGCAACAGATCTATTCACAGGAGAGAATAATTGTCTTGCTCTCCACCTTCGAAGTTATTTGACTGTACACAGCTGCATGAGCAATGTGATCTTTTCAGGGCGGACGTCCTTGTAATTACAGGGAATGCGAGTGCGTGACGAAAATACCACCAGGACACATCGATCTAAATAACAGCACCATGTATTAGTTATCCTTCTTATGTACGTTGTGCTGTCAACAAAAATCTCAAACAGGATTTACTGGGTACAGTGGCTTACTTTTTTATCAATGATGCAGCAAACATTAGCGAAACGGATTCTTATCAAGCATCAATTATTTTTCTCCTTAATAGAATGGGTTACGTTTGTATGTATCCAATAGAAAGACAAAACACACAGGACCTTTAATTCTATTGCTACACAAGATTCCTAAACATGGTCATAAAGTAGATTCTTCTTTATCTCCATAATCTTTCCATCTTGCTTTCAGGTTTCTATTCCACAATTTCCTTATTAAAAAGACAAGCAGTTTGTCATTCCCATGCAGTGTGGTCAAAAATTAATTTTAGGCTGAACTGGGGATGATGAATTTCAGATGAGTGGTGGATGCAGTAGAATAAAAAGTAAGTTGTACCTTATCTGTATTTCACAGATTGTTCTTTCTTATGAACCTATTATTAATAGAACTTTTATTTCTTGAGTGGACTATCTACATTATCACACTGCACAATTATTTTAAACACATATTATCTGCTGTTATTGTGCTCACAGCTTCAATGTCAGCTTTACGGTTACAGTATGAGAAGACACAATTAAGGGGTAAATACTTTTTTGATTCCACTAATATGTCAAGAATCCATATCAGTATCTTAATAGGAAAATACCATAATTCTGAAGATAGAAGCCGTGTAGATCATACAGAAGGCATACATCCCTTTACCAACTCAAAGCACACATCAGTCCAAAACAGTAGTAAAGGACCACAGCCCAGCAAGATCCTTTTTAGATTATTGTCAGTTTAAGATCCGAATAGAAAGAGATCAATCATTCCCAATGTACTGTGTATACTGCTAGTACTGCCTACACTGTAACAGTATTTTATGAGTGTTTTTCAAGAAGCTCAAAGCACTACACAATAGCACACACAATTGCACAACAGAGACAGATCAGAGAAAACATACAGCTGATTGACTTAGTGAAATAGTGAGATTTAATTACACATTAAAAGCTTAAGGAAAAAATGTATTTTGAGTTTTAATAACACACTGTCTTGTCAGTTCACCTTAAGAATGCTGTTTGTGAAATTCCACTCTTTAACTCAAATCCTAACCTGCTTTTAGCGGACTTAAAGCTTCCTGGACAGTGCACCTCCAGGGAAGGAAAAGCGAACGCCTGTCAGATTTTAGTACAGTAAGTCACTTTCACGCTATATGCGTGTTTCTATCCAAGGTTTTAATTTCAAGTCTGGGATGATTGTAAACATTTTCTAACTTGGCCCATTTCAGTTAATGGCTTAGGTGTGAAAGCTTTCTAAAATATTAAAAATATATAATAATAGTAATAAAAAGTAAACATGTGTGAACAGTCCATTTTACAAGTTGAACTAAAAATACTAAGCCTTTTTTGCCTGTTTTTAATTATAAATGGTCACCGTTTAAAAAGCACTGTAGTATTAAATTGTTTCATTGCCGAGGACCTTTAATTTAATGTAGCTACGTGTTAAAAAAATGCTTTGTTATAAACTGGTGGGGAATGAACAAATTCCGCAATCTCTTTAAGATGCCTCGTCACTTGCTCTGAACAGCAGGATCAACGCGCACGGGTTTCTGCGCAGGGCAATCACCGACAGTCCGCCAGTATCCCGTCAGCCTCACAACAGGGGGAAGAAAACAACAGCGGCTGCGTCTCGTCGCTCGAGGAGAAGACCGCAGATATGTCTGAAAAGAAGCAAACGGTAGATTTGGGGTTGTTAGAGGAGGACGACGAGTTTGAGGAATTTCCAGCTGAAGGTAACATGGTGTTTGTGCGAATTTTACACAGTATCCCGCCCCAGTCGAAACCTTGTCGCCTGGAAGCGGCAGAGGCCTGATCGTGACTTGACGGTTTGCTTTGCAATGAATGGGCTCGAGGGGAAAGCTGTGGAAATAGGCCGTGCTGTCCAAAATTAGGCAGATTTTTAAACACAAGCCCGTATTTTATTAATGGAAAAAAAAAACAGTGCAGTGCACATCGAGTAAATGGACATGTTTTTCACGATCAGAGTTGGACAGGAGGTTGATGGGTGTGAACGAGGGTGATGTGTCGACAGGCCATTTATTCCGTAATAATCGCTTAAAACGAATTCAGGCAGAATGTACTGAAAATATTCAGAACTTTTGCCCTTTTCTGCGTCTGAGAAAGCCTGAGAAAATCTGCAGCAGCCCAGTTGTGGTCTTGTAGTATCCTTTACCTGTTTCTGAAGCAGCTTGTTTCATGGCATAGACACTGGGCAGGCTGTGGAATTAGTTAGCCAATGAAACCAAGAGCTGAAATAAAACAAAATTCAGTGTTTTGCTGAAGACAGTAAGTTACCATGAACACAGTGGAGGGGCTTGTTTCCCATTCTAACTCCGTACTGTGCATGACAACGCCTCGTCTCCCAAGCCCACCCGTTTGATTATTATTTTTGTAAGGTGGTAGCAAGGACTCTTGTCGTGTTGAAATATCCCTCTTTTTATGATGTATCCAATAGTGTGTGAGTTTAAGCCTTAGCCTTGCGTATTTATACTCACTCTTTAACTACGAGTACTACTACACGACAATTTGATATTAAGGAAGAAGTGATATAATTTAAGGAGGCTGGTTGCTTGGGAAGTGTTCTCCTAACAAGAATTTAAATATCGATAGTCTGTGCTACCCAGGTCAAAACTGAAACTTAGGTCTTCGGGAGTTGTATTCACTGAGGCCAAGGCTTTTTAAGGCTTTTGGATAGAATATTGTTTAGAAAGAAACAGAAACGTCCGGTTCTGGATGTTTCTGGGCATGAATGCCATGCTGGCTGTTCTCCGTACAAGGTTCCAAGCTGATAATGGAAGAGCAGTTAACACTTTTTCTATCGGCCTGCATGCCTTTTTCACTTGATGTTGCTTGCAGACCAGTGGGTGCTGAAGACAGTTTGTGATTTATGTTACAGATTGGACTGGGCTGGATGAAGATGAGGATGCACACGTGTGGGAAGACAACTGGGATGATGACAACGTAGAGGACGACTTTTCAAATCAGCTGAGGTACATCTGCACTGTCACTTTCCCTTGTCTGCAAGATGGCTGTGCAGTGTGAATCGGTCAGCTGTGGCATTCACCCCTAACTGCTGAGTTTACACCACGGCACAACACCTTCAATATTGCTGTGTCTTTCACGTTTTGTATTGGCAGACTACTGCTTTTGCAAAGTAGATTTTCAGTGGATGGTCTACTTCATTGTAAGTAACGATTATGAATTTGAAAACTGGTTTTGTTTCATACACAAGATTAGCAGTTATTATAATAATTGTTTTGCCTTTGTCTGTGCTGTGTGAAACTAATATTAAAGTTTGCTCTAAAACCTTATGCCAAAGTCAGGGTTGTAAGATGTTTTGCCAATGAGAGGAGGCTATTCATCCCATTTAGTTACTAGTTAGTTGCGAATTGACTGAAGGATTTCATCCAGTCATTTCTTGAGAGTAGTCAGGACATCAGCTTCACAGTCTAGCTGAATAGCTTTCATATATCCCCTCGAAACACCTGTGTAAACAAGTGTTGTTTGTTCCAAGTTTTAAATGCACTTCCACATAATGATGTTAGTGTAAGCATTATTTTAATCTTGCTGACGAGTTGAAAAATTGTTACAAAATGTCTTGTGCTTTGATTAACATGGACATTTAACATTTAATCAAATTTACGCATGCTGTGGTTGAATTAAAACAGAAGAATAACTTAATTTGCACTATTTTTGTAAAATGCTGGTTGTATCTTTCAACAGTTTCAAAATCAGGGTTAAGCAAATACAAATCTAATATCAATACAATTAACTTTAAATGAGTGTCCTTAGCTTGAAAATTCTGTGCAGTGTAAATTGTTTCCTGAAAGCTGGACCCCATGAAGATCTGATGATTTAAATCCTCTTCTTTGTGGTTAACATTTTTAATCTAAAGAATATAATTATTAGTTATTGTGTGCAACATAACCCACATAAATATGAAAACGGTTACAAGTTGAGCAAAATACTGGTTGTACATACATTTAACATAAATCTCAAAACCTCTTCATGTAGTTGCTTTAGGGGGGATTACAAGACCAGTTACAAACAATTGGACTCTAGGTGGTCTAAAACCACAATGATTCTTCAATGAATAGCCAAGCTATCCCTTAAATTACATGGTTGGTGTTTTCATGAAAACTGTCTCTCCTCCTCATAATCAGCGCTTAACACAAACATTGAGGGTTGACCACATCGAGGATTTATTAAGTACGAGTAAACTACCTTGCTTTAACTTCCTCTATGTAAATACTTTTTCATTTGTAACTCCACTAGGAACTTACAAACATACTGGAAAAAACATTCCGTAAATTATGTTTATGCAATTATTCCAGGGGATTGTGGCCTATAGAACATTTTATATTTCGTTTACAAGTACATTCTCAAAATCAAGGCTGCCATTGTTATTAACGTGGAGTATGTTGGAAATATATTTGCACACAATAAAATTTGCCTTGCTAAAGGTTTTATGTCTCAAGAGGCACAATCTCTGAAAATATGGTACCTATACTTCCAATTACGCAGATATTTATTGCAGAATCCTGTTGCAGTGTTGCCTGTCAAATGCAGTGCATTTGAATGTCATATAACACTACAAAGGCTACAAAAATGTGTTTAGAATTTACACTGTTTTTTTAATGATTTGTCATATATAAAATGGATATAAGAATTCTCATATATAAGAATTTGTGAAAAGGTTAAACGTTTTCTTCAGTAAAACGTTGGCCAATTCAAAGTGCATTGAAGAGAAATGAGCCTGGTATAAAACATGCCAGCTTTGGATGAATGCTTCTCAAAGTAAAGGTACGTCTTGCAGGCTCAGAGGTGTCTTGTAAACCATTTATTTCCTGCCTGGGGATCTCATGGTCTTATTAACATCTCTCAAGCCCATAAATGTCAAGTCTGTACAGGAAATCTCCACACAGCAACGTTGACAACTGCAGATTGTCTGTATTGCCACCATCTCATAGCACTGACTCATACGTTGATTTACAGGGAAGTTGATTTTTAGTTAAGCACTCTCAGTGTTTTCAATTTTGTCTTAATGGGATTAATAATTTAAATGCTACTACAATTGTATTGCCATAAATACAGGATTTTTGCTGTTCATTAACATGGAGTAATAGTGAAATATCAGTTTTTAGAAGCTTCTCAAATTATTTTCCACTGTAATTGGTTGAACTCTGTCCTGCTTTGTAGTAGCATCATTTTAATGCTTTCTTAACAGATTTTTTCCCCTATTCTACAGGGCTGAACTAGAAAAACATGGCTACAAAATGGAGACGTAGTTGTCGTCAATCGGAATTATGCCTATGGACTTTAATGGAATTTATACTGTTGTTGCGAAGTACACAGTGAAGACTGATAAATCAACTCCATTTACTATTACATTATTCTTTGTTAAATAAAGTATTTTGAAAACAAAACTTATTGTAGGGATTTTCTTTCATGCTTTTAAATTGGGAAGGGCTTTCAAAAAGTGTTTTGTGCATTTGTACAGACTTAAATTGCTTAAAATGCTTGACAACCTGCCTTTAAAATCTGTCTTTGGGTCTTAAATGAGTGAAGGTGTTCGTTTTAATCACAGATGTGATTGTGAGTCTGGGTCGTGTCATTAACTGACTGTGACGGAGATCAGAAGGCCTGGGCTATCTCAGCAGATCAACTCCTGTGACTTCCTGGGCACCTGCAGGCTTGCAGTTACTTTACAGAGAGATGTGCCTCCAGCCTGCAGCGTTTTCACAGATGTTTGGCCCTTCCCCATTCTCCCAGTGCAGTACACTGTTGAAGTCTACAGCCAACAATTAAAGAAACAGATGGCAGTTTCATATTTTGGTGGATGTCAGTGAGAACATTTTTTAAATCATTTATTTAAAGACCAGTAATTTGTATTAGTTTGGTGATTTGTTTTAGAACATCCATCCATTCATCCTTCCTTTATCCAATTCAGGGTAACAGGGGTGCCGAAGCCTCTCCGGGCAAGCAATGGGCACAAGTCAGGATACACCCTGGACGGGATGCCAGTTCATGACACTAGACATGCACTCAACTAAGGCTAGTTTTCACAGATCCCAGTTAATCTACCAGTATGTCTTTGGACTGTGGGAGGAAACCCATGCAGACATGGGGAGAACATACAGACTTTACACAGATAGAACCCAAGTTTACTGCTGGTTTCTGACTTCGTGGGTTGATTAATACTTAATCAGTTTGGATGGAAGTGCAATTTTATTACTGTATTGCATGTAAAATTATCTGGGTGTTATTGGGGATTGTGCTTCATTAGTCTGGCTTGCATATGACTCCCAGGAGGCAATCTGCAATGTGTCCGTTTTAAATGCGTTACACTTTCAAAGGATGTTCCACAGGGTTCTGTGTTGGAACCCTATGTTAGTCTTTACATGTTTCCTCTTGATCGGACTGTGCACCATGACTGATTTAGGTTTTATGGCTGTACTGGCATACAGGCGTGTTTGTAAACCAGTTTTCACTGCATCACCACACTTTGTCTGTCTGTTAGCGGGATGGGGTTGCATCAGAACGTGGAATGTCTGAGGTTATATTCATAGGCTGCTAACATCAGTTTTACAAAGTTGTTGACACCAGTGTCATTGATCATGCTGAAATCAAACCTTTGATGGGAGTTGGACACGATGGTGTTAGTTTTGACCCAGTAGTACCATGTAAAGCATGTGTTAGAGTGCCCCAATAATACATAGGGATGGCTGGTTAAAACTCTTGCTCTGCTTGTCTAAGAATGAAATACGGGTACAAGCCTTTATTCCATTAGACTACTGTAAAACCTTGTCTTCTGAGGTACTACATAGGCTTTGGTAGGTGGTCAATTTAAAAAAAAATAAAAGTACTCAGCATCAGTTCAAATTCCAAATTTTGTAAAGTTTGAGGTTTAAAGGCCTGGAGCTTTCTTGGCCGTAAAACCTTCAAGGATGTAAAGACGTTTATGCTGTTCGGACACCAGTGAGTTCCACTCATGGCCTTTCTTACACATCTGATAATCTGTTAGTTGCTTCTCTCAAATGTATTCTGTGCCTTCTGTCACTCCAGTTCACTTGCCTACAGTTAAACTGATGGTACTGTATATAAAAACCTTTGGACCAAGTAGAAGCAAATCAGAACATGAAATAAAATTGGGCACTTGCATATCGGACTCTCCCATTCATTTGAATTATACTGTTGAATACTATTGAACTAATCTCTTTGTTCGTAGAGTTGTCATTCCTTTTTCTCAAGGTATCGTATTTGTATTCAGGGGTCCTTTATTATACACGTGCATATTTTCAGGTCAGTCCTAAAGATCGAGTTCCATGTGTGAAGAAAATCAGCGCTATAATGCAACTCTTGTCGACTAGAATTTGGGATATAAATTTACATATATATATATAAACGGTTCCTAATTGTGTTGCCGGCAGGCTGTTAAATTTGTTGAAAAGAGCAAAAATAACAAGGGAAAAAAGGTGCATTTTATGTAGGTTATAGTGTTTAGCACTTTGTTTCTAGGTGACTGCATGTCCCTTAATACAACCTGGAAGAGAATGTCTCTTGAGGCCCTGTGTAACTTGAGTACTTTTATTACAGCTTCAGTAATAGCTCAAAAAGGACAGAAGCTGTCATACTGGTAAGGTGCTGAGCAAGGGTGTCACTGCTATCAGTTGCCCAGGAGCAATTACTGTCATCATGAAAGAATGATTCTCATGCTTCCAACCAACAGAAAACCTGCTCGCTGATGGTTAAAACAGCAGCAAATGTTAAGTTCAGTTTTTAAAATCCTTACTTCACTGTTAAATGGCACAAATGGAAAACAAATTTGTGGTTCACTTCTGATGGGATTTTTTCCCCCAGGGAATCATTCTTCTCTAGGCCAAGTAGAATATAAGGCGCGGTGGCCAAGTGGTAAGGTGTTGGTCTCGTAAACTGAAGATCACGGGTTCGAACCCCGTCACCTGCCTGTTTTGGGGCAGTGCGGTGGCTCTGTGGCTCAGGATCTGCGCCTGTGGCTGGAAGGTGGCCGGTTTGTATCCCGCGGCCGGCAGAGGAATCCTACTCCATTGCGCCCCTGAGCAAGGCCCTTCACCCCAACTGCTCCAGGGACACTGTATAAATGGCTGACCCTGCGCTCTGACCTCCAGCTTCTCTCTCCCCGTCTGTGTGTCTCATGGAGAGCAAGCTGGGGTGTGCGAAAAGACAAATTCCTAATACGAGAAATTGTAAATAGCCGAAAAAGTATATTATACAGTATGTAAAATATAAATACATACATATAACACTTCTGTTCCAAAAATATCTATTGTCTTGTGTGCTTGTCTCCCTTTCATTCTTATCAGTCTCAGGATGTTCTGCCTTAGAGATAAAATATTAATAGTTACATGTGTAAGAGTTTAAAGTTATTTTACCACTGGTTATTCAGATTTTTCTATTGTGTATATAAAAAATGTTCTACTGATTTATGTTTAGTCTTTTTCTGTATTGAAATATTTTGTGAAAAAAACGAAAGTCTTTGTCAAAGATCTCCAAAATGATTAACACCTTGCCAGCTTAGATTTATAACGGTGCTCATGATTTCTCACCGTTTCAACGTTTTAGGGGGATGTTGAAAGAACAGTGCAGTTTATGTAGGGCTTAGCTGGATTTACACACCTGGAATTCCTTTGCAGTCCTATCCAAAAAGGGGGCCTTGCATGTTTTTTCTTGGGACCCTGGAAAATAGACGGTTGTTTTCTTTCAGCAGACACATCCTGGGTTTCCTTGAGCAGTTGAGGCCTTGGAGGAGTTTCTGCCAGGAGACTAGGCAGTGCCACCATTGTAAGACAAAGGCCCTCTCAGCAGGTAGCTCCCATCTGTCCTGCCCAGACCTGCCTCCTCTCATGTGGAGGCCTGGGCATTCTTAGAATTCACAGCAGGTACTCCTGGAGTGCTGAGAGACAATTCGCTGAGCCATACTCCCGGCAAATTATTGTGCTGGATTTAGGCTTTCAGCCCCTTCACTTAATGAGTTGAAATCGATGCCACTGAAGGATCTTTACAGCAGGAGATCTTCCTTGAGCAGCCATGCATCCTTCCTCCAGTTGTGTTTTTGTTGTGTTTTTTTTTTCTCCATTACAAATACTCGTCAAGGTGAAGTGGCATTTCAGTTGTGGCACTAGTGAAATTCTGTACTGTACTGATGATAAACGTGATCTTCAAATCTTAAGTGTGCCCCCATTCGGTACCTCCTATTCTTCTTTTATGAAAGAAGGAAGATCGTTGAAGTGTAACTGATATTTATCAGGATACGTCAATGAAGACAATCGAGGATGTAGTCTATTTTTGCAGGGTGACACAGAAGACGACCAGTTTGAGTGTATTCAGCCTTA